TTTTAAAAGATGGTAAAGAATAAAAGAAGAAAGCAAGTATCAAGCAGGAAGTCACAGTGTCAGGGAACTTAGATCTTCAACCCCATCCAGCAGCAGCAAGGCTGCTATTCAACATTGTTTGTACAGGTTTTAGCTGGAGAAATTTGGCAAGTAAAAGAAATAAAAGGCATCCAAACTGGAAAGGAAGAAGTAAAACTCTATTTGCAGATGATGTGATCTTACAGATAGCACATCCTTTAAAAATACACAAATTATTAAAGCTAATAAGAGACTTCAACAAAGTTGAAGGATACAGGATCAACATGAAAAAATCAATTGTACTTCTATGCAGTAAAATAAAATTAAGAATCCTAAAATAAAATTAAGAAAACAATTCTACTTGCAATAGCATCAAGGAGAATAAAAACTTAGGAATAAATTTAACAAAGGGTGTGGAAGAATACTACAGCAAAAAGTATAAAACATTGTTGAAAAAAATTAAGGCTATGTTCATGGATTGGAAGACAATATTGTTAAGATGATGATATTCCCCAACATGACCTACAGATTCAATACAACCCCTATTCAAATATCAACACCATTTGCAGAAATGGACAAGCTAATCCTAAAATTCATATGGAATTCCAAGAGACCCCAAATAGACAAAACAAAACAATCTTAAAAAACAAGAACAAAGTTGGAGGGCTCACACATCTTGATTTCAAAACTTGCTACAAAGCTGCAGTAATCAAAGCAGCATGATTCTGGCATAAGGATAGACATAGAGATCAGTGGAACAGATTTGAGAGCCCAGAAATAAACCCATGCATCTATGGCCAATTGATTTTTAATAGGAATACTTAGATCATTCAAGGGAAAAGAATAGGTCTTTCAACAAATGGTGCTGGGAAAATTGGATAGCCACATGCAAAAGAATGAAGTTGGACTCTTATCCCACACTATACATAAACGTTATATATTTAAATCATGTGCCTTGTAAACAACATGTAGTTGGACTTACTTTCTTTTTAACCCAGCCTGACATCCTTAGTCTTAAGTTTGCAGTACTTAGTTTAATTACCACAAATTTAGTGGCTTAAAATAACATAAATTTATTCTCTCACAGTGCTGGAGGCCTGAAGTCCAAAAGCAAGGCAC